AGGATTGGCCAGGATCGAACCCAGTCCCCGCACCGAGACTGGGGTTACGCTGGCTGCGCAGACCGGACACATGAAATTAGCTCTACTTTCCCCCTGTTCAGACAGAGCATCATCAGCGCACTTAAAAAGCTCTGGACGTAGTTGGCTCGTCAGATGGGCACCACCTACGCTGCCCCAGGTTTGGGAAAAGCATGAGCCGAAGGGAAAGTTGGTCGCGGAAAGACGGGAGTTTGGGCTGGCTTTCTGGACACAGGCATGAAATATTCCAAATGAAGCTTTCGGGAAGAGTTGAATCTGTCTTCAAGGACAAGCGGGAGCTATGTAAAGAAGGCAGATACATCCCGGCGTGAAGGCCCAGTGGGATTGGGAAGCTTGGTTCATTGGGGCTAGCCCTCGGTCTGGTAGGACAGGGGTCAGATGCACATGGGCAGAGGGGACAAGGTTGAAGGAGGAGGGTGCCGCCTGCCAGACTTGAGTAGCTTGGGAACTGGACAGGCTAAGGTCTATGTGTGGATTGCAGACGAAGAGTGTCCACGCTCAGATCTGATTTTAGAAAACTCCCTGTGGCAATAACACCTTAGAAGACACGACAGAGGCCGGGCATGGAGGCTCAGACTGTAATCCCAGCACTTTGGGAGGCCACGGCGAGAGGACTGCCTGAGCCCAGGGGTTCGAGACCAGGCCAGGCTGGGCAACCTGGTGAGACCTCGTCTCTACGATAAATCACAAAAACTAGCCGGGCGTGGTGGCATGCATCTGTAGTTCCAACTACTTGGAAGGCTGAGGCAGAAGGATCGCCTGAGCCCAGGAGGTCAAGGCTGCGGTGGCCATGAGCAGCGTGCCACTGCACTCCAGCCTGGGCGACAAAAGTGAGACTCCAACTCAGAAACAACAAAGAAGACAGGCCAGAGGAAGCTGAGAATCAAGGCCGGGATGCCCATTTGAAGTAGGAAGTGATGATGTTTCAGACTAGGGGAGAGGAGAAGAGTAGAGCAGCTTTGAAACATTTAGGAAATGGAATAGAGTTGGGTGACTGGACGCAGCAGCAAAAGAACAGACCAAATCCCAGGAGTCCACCTTCGGCACCCGTGGGGATGCAGGTGTTTACTAACAGAATACAGGGGAGGGTAGTGAGAGGAGTTGAATATAGTGACTGATTCACTACAGCAATTGCTCAGCTAAGGGTCTTGTGTCAAGAGCAAGGCGTAGGCTAAAGATCCTGGTGCAGCGTAGGTGTTGTCACCTAAGCTAAAAACAAAAACAAAAAAACAAAGGAGGGGGTGAGATGGGGGAAAGAATGAAACTGCCCAGAACACGACACTGTGATAAGACAAGTAGTGTGACACACAAGATTAGAAAGCTGCAAAATAATGAAAGAGGGCAGGGAAGTGGGAATAGCATTACAAAAGAAAGCTGTCACAAGGCAAGGAAATAAAATGTTTTAATCAGGGTATGATGAATAGTGTACATAAGAATGGGGGAGAAAAATGTTTACTGGGTTTGGCAACACAAAGGAGTTAGTGCTTTCAGCCATGCTGGTTTTAACACAGCTTGAGGTAATTTCAAACAGAAACTAATTATGAAAACATCGCAAAAACAGGTTCATCAATTGGTGCCAGATAATTAATCAATACCAGTACCTAATACAGGGCAGGCACTTAATGTTTGCTGTTCAACTGTACTATATAGAGTACTTCAATACTATGTCACTGGAAAATGTTTAATAAGGGACATAGGATGGGTAGTATAAAAATGACAGTATGAAAATAGACAAGAGGTAAAAAATACACAATAGCAATAGGCAAATGCTCACTTTAATTGTAATTCTAAAGTACCTTTCATGTTAACATAATGTGTTTCCATAAACCATAAGTTTAAGCTAAGTCGTATATGTTTTTTAATAGCTACAATGACTTGGAACTTTTATTAAGAAATGATCAAGAGCTGGTTGAAATTCTCCCCATAAGTATATTTGCTATAATTTTTATTCACAAGAAATTCAGATCTAAGCTTCCTGAAAAGCTATATTATCCAATATCACAACGGGGATGACTACGTACTTGACAACTACTTTCTAAAGTGCCAGCATAACAAAGTGATTACTTGAAGAAACAGCTTTCCCCTGTTAATATTTACAACCACAAGGCAGGACTCTCATTTTATCATGAAATGTAGAGATAATCAGGGAAAGGTGAATGCAATGATATCAAGAAAAAGAGCACTTGAAAACATTTCCACTTTTATTAAAGGTTTCTGACAATAAAGAATTCATAAAATGCCATTAATTCTATTTGCTATAGAAAACCATTTATCTCTAAGTCGGAGACATATGCTATAAAACAGCAACCATTTTAATGTGTAAAATAATTCTGAATTCTTACTATAAAAAGATTTGGCTAAACTACAAAGTATCTTTGCAATAAAACTGACAATGTAGCTTAAGTAGCTTATAAGATTTCAGAACTGTCTCCTGAAAGAAATGGGAATGTTTCCCTTTGCCACACAAATTCTTAACAGTTAAGGTGCCATAAATTAGACAAAGCTAGAGAGGAACATATCACGTTACTAGAAAAGAAGCACATCTGATGTGGACTTCCTCCATGTCAGAGTGACAGGAAAATAGAATATGCTCTTCTGAAGAAAATGACATAAGAAGATAATTCTTAGAAACAAACTTCTTACTGAAGACTTGACTAGCTTTTCAGAGACTGTAATCACAAAACAGATAGGGATCATTTGTATGACATGTTAAGGGATTCCATTATATTATAATAACCTCCTCAAACATAAACACACTTGTAAAATGGCAATTCTCTCAAACAAACATCTATTTGCAAGCATGTTCAACTGCCAGTGGCATTTGGATGCAAAGGTTTAACTCGTGCTAATCTGGACAAGCCAAGGCGGAGACTCTGATTTGGAGACTTAACGGACACTCCTGCCAGTGGGCTGCTGCTATTACTGCTACTTCCAGATGCCGCTGAAAGAAAACATATGACATGATGCAACTGAAGTCAGAATCTCTTAACAAATTATTTTATAAAACAGAAGAAGTGGCCCGGTGCGGTGGTTCATGACTGGAATCCTAGCACAAGGCAGGAGGATTGCTTGAGGCTATGAGTTTGAGAACAGCTTGGGCAATATAGCAAGACTCCATCTCTACAAAAAATAAAAAATTAGCCGGGCATGGTAGCACATGCCTGTAGTCCCAGCTACCCAGGAGGCTGAGGCAGGAAGATCGCTTGAGCCCAGGTGTTCGAGGCTGCCATGACCTATGATCATACCACTGCACTCCAGTCAGGGTGACAGAAATGAGACTCTGTCTCTAAAAAAATAAAATAAAAACTAAACAGAAAAAGCAAAAAAAGTAGTTAAGCATTATTCTGCTTTCCAGGGTCTATCAAGCAATAAACTAGTTCAAAAGAATGGAAAATACTATAGAACAGAAAGAACACAGAATTGCCTATTTTCAAATATCCTAGGAGCCAAGGTAATGACACCAAAATTTCACCATGAAAGGTGAAATAGAAAAGTAAGGTGCAGGTAACACTGCTTGTAAAGGCATGAAGAAATGCACAAACTAATTTCTAAAGTAACAGAAAAGTCAAATGCATTTTTTGAAGTTCTGGAATTTTTACAAGTACTCCTTGAAAAGAGTATTTTCCAGTTTTTAAAAAACCTAGTTTCAATTATACCATCATCCTAACATAGCAATTCTTTCCATCTAGTATTACATTTCAATATTTATACACATTAGTGATCATGACTGTAGTCACTGGACAATAAAGGGATTATAAATTTTAAATTATTATACCTACTACCCTATAACCCAGAGTGTGCTAGATTATATTGCTTTGTTGTTTTCTAGTTTGAGATATAAAATAGTATAGTATAATAACAATAATACATTTTAATAGTATTTTATTAATATTCAATAGTAAATAGTATTTAGTTTACATTTCCTTAGCTACCAGTGAGAATAAAATCCTCATATTTTCTCGTTCTATTTCTTGAGGGCATTAATATGTTTATGACCCTAATTCATTTCCCCTTTGAGGTCTTAGTGGTCTTCTCACAGTTGTATAAGACATGTAACAAACTGGTACCTGAAGGTCAAATCTAGCTCTCACACCAGATGTTTGGTCCACATGGTATTTTTAAAAAGTCAATTTTTAAAAATGAGGAGATTCTGCATTAAGATCTAGATTTTCTGGCTTCTCTTGCAAAAAATAAATAAATAAATAAATAAATAATCATATCTGAAAATACCAGGCCCCTAATCCTGCATGGAAACAATCAGATGGAGCTGAGTAGCAGCTGTATCCTTCAAAAAGGGCACAAACTCCTGAGTCTAACATAACCCCATTCGCAAAGTCTACTACACGTGCCCAGTTCACTCACATGCATCACATGCCTGACATGGTCACTCACCGACTCTATAAACAGTGTGCTTTATGACAGCAACTCTATATCTATCATGCCACTCCCTATTCCCTTTTTATCTTTTTTATGATGCTGCTTTTAAATTTCTATATTCATTGTATTATTTCTTTCAAATTTCTTTCTTTGGGGAATCACCATTCTTTGAAAAAACATATTAATTTTATGATATGACTTCATTATTTCAGTAACTACTCTCCCTTCCTTTCCTTCTCCAAAAAACTTTTAAATTCTCATCAAAAATCTTAGAATTTTTCAGTCAGAAAGAACTTTAAAGATTATATATTAGCTCCTGATATTTCAGATGATAGAAAGTTCAGATAAATTGAGCAAGCATGCAGCCTCACAGCTCAGAATTAAATCTGCCTATTAATACCTAGCCATCATTAGGGGAGTGACCACTAGGGACCAGGCAAGAAAGGTCACTCAAAAGAAGTAAAACCAGAGTAGATTTGGAAAGACTTAGAAAAGGAGAGGGGACATGAAGAAAGATATACCAGACAGAGGAAACTGGAGAATGAGAGACTCTGACAGAAGAATATACGCAATGTGTTTGGGGGATAAAAAGTGTATCAATTTCACTGATTTAGAGGGTTCATGGAAGTGGTTGCCAGAAAATGAAGACAGGATTAATTAGAAAGGCAACAACAGTTTGGGTTAGCATTAGGGTTTTTGTAATGTCAAGAGGGGTAAAGGTCAAAGAATTCTTGAAGGATCAGTAAGACCTGGCTGTGGAGCAAAAGGAAATAAGTCAAGTTTGTAGAGTCAGAAGTTGAGATTGCTAGGGCATGTTAAATGCTGGAATTCCCACACACAGATCCCGAGGTTTCAGTAGACGAAGAGGCCAGCAGGCCCTGAGCAAAAAATTTGTTGCCAGAAATATAAATATCAGGAATCTCAAATATTTACACCTTTTGACACTGTAATTCTCCTACTAGAAATTTTTCCTAAGAAAATAATCAGGAATGTGCCCACAGATTTCTAAAATAAGAATGTCTGTGCTTATTGCACCCTTATTTATATGACTGAAAAAAATCATAAACAACTTAGATGCTCAATAATAAGGGGATGGTTAAATAAAACATGAACAAATGCAGCAACTAGAAAGTCTAATTTTGAAGATTATGTAATAATATGAGAAAATGATCATATTTTATGATTTATAACTAAGGAAAAAAAAAAATCCCCCAGTGATAATTTTCTAAGCCCCTGTCCTTGTTCATAAATATACCATACCTGGTGGAACCCACTTCGGTCTCTTGCTTTCAGCTGAAGGACTGCATATTTGTAATGGTTTTCTAGTGGCCTCTGAAGAATGAGAAATCTTTTTGGGCAAGGAGTGATATTCCAATTTGACGGCAGCTGGGGCAGAGTGTACTGAAGTCACTTCTTTGAAAAATAAACATAAAAAAGTTGGTCATGTAGGAAGATAAAGTTTAAGTCTAGCATGTACGTGTACAAATTATAAAGCTGCATAATCTTATGAAAAATTAAAAAGACCTTTAATCAATAAACATTTATTAAGAACCTAAGAACAGCCATCTTTAATGAACATTTACAGGTCAGGTAATGTGATAAGCATATCATACACATTACCTTTAGCCCTTTATGGCAATTCAGTACATACAAGGAAACAGAATTTAAATAATCTGCCTATAGCTTGATAGCTAGTAGTGTCTGAGCCAGGGTTAGAAACCTGGTTTTCCTCCAAAGTCCATGCAAAGAACTATTACACAGTAGTGTCTCATCAGTATGGGTCAATGAGACAATGTATCAGGCTCTAGGGTGACAAAGATATCACTCATAGACCCTGCTCCCAAGGACTTTATGGTCCAGACACTGGACTTTAGTGGGAAGGACAAGAAAGTAAAGAGATACATATAAAGGATATGGCAGACTCTAGTTGTATGCCCAGCAGGAAGGAAAACCGCAATCTAGGTGTGTGTGTGTTTACAAGTTGCAGAAAGGTGGATGAGGATGATCCAAGATGAATCAAGCCTAGAGAGGAAAGCTGAGTTGAGGGAAGTCTTCCAGGCAGAGGGAGTAGAGCAAGCAAAGCTGGAGAATGCACCAAGTTCTAGGACTAGTACTGACTGGTTCAGTATGGTTGGAGAAAAATCTCAAAGGCAGGAAAGGTAAGAGACAGAGACAGAGTGCAGATCATTTATGAAGACCTTTGTAGGCCACATAAAAGGGTCTGGTTGGTGACAGTTACATACTAATTTTTCTTAGGAGTGATTTGCATTTTAAAAACATCTTTCCGATGGTAACATAGAGGAAGTTGAGCACTCAGAAGGCTATTGTGGTAACCATGTGAGAGGTTTTGGAGGCTTACTAAGGTGGAGAACAGATAGAAAAACAGCACATTAGATATGTTTTAGTAATTAGCTGGCGGCAGGTGGCGATAGAGATGAAGAAATAACCCATCCCTTGCAAGTTCCTGCCATGGGCACATTGCTTGATGGTGCCATTTACCTACAAGAATGGGAGTAGGTTTTGGTTCTTTTTTTTTTTTGGTGGGAGAAATGAATGGAAGAGAAGTGGAATGTAAATTCGCTTTCAGATAATGCTTGTTTTAAAATACCTAAAGGGTATCTAAATGCATATGAATAAGAACATTTTCACTAAATGCTCTTCTTTTTTTTTTTTTTTTTTTTAAGTTGGAGTCTCACTCCGTAGCTGGGCTCAGGTGATCTTTCCACCTCAGCCTTCCAAGTAACCAGAACTACAGGCGCGTGTACCACACCCAGCTAATTTTTTAATTTATTGTAGAGACGAGGTCTTGCCAAATTGCCCAGGCTGGTCTCTAACCTGTGGGCTCAGGCAATCCTTTACCTCGGCCTCTGAAAGTGCTGGGATGACAGACTTGAGTCCCAGAGCCCAGCCAAATGCTCTACTTAATGTTAACTCCATCTCCCAGATTAGCAGAACTCTGTGATGATAAAAAATGTTCTGTCTGATATGATGGCTATTTGAGCTGTCTGATATGGTGGCCTCTAGGTCACAAATAGTTACTGTTCACTTGGAATGTGGCTAGCAAACCAAAAAACTGATCTTAAAATTTTACTTAATTTTAATGAACTTAAATGTAATACAGCCAAATATGACCAGTAGCTCTCATATTGGACAACACAGTTCTGAACATTTTTTTCTATCAAGGAAAAAATTATAATGTGTGCTAGATTAAAAAAAAAAACAAAACAAGCCGGGCTCAGTGGCTCAGCCTATAATCCCACTCCTTTGGGAGGCTGAGGTGAGTGGATTGCCTGAGCCCGCGGGTTCGAGACCCACCTGGGCAGTGAGACCTCATCTCTACAATAAATCAAAAAATCAGCTGGGCGTGGTAGCGCATGCCTGTAATTCCGGCTACTTGGAAGGCTGAGGCGAAAGGATCGCCAGAGCCCAGCAGGCGGAGGCTGTGGTGGCCGGGAACGGCCACTGCACTCCAGTCTGGACGACAGAGTGAGACTCCAACTAAAAAAAAAAACCAAAAAAAACAAACTTTCAAAGGTGACCAAATACATTACTAGGACTAGAAATAGAATCCATTTTTCCTAATTCCTAATCCTATTACTTAATAAGTTTTACTTCTAATCTTATATATTAATCTCCCTTATGAAGCAACTTGCTCAAAGGGATATAAAAAAGATTTTAAACGATAAATTCCAACTTGGAAGCTAAAAGTTTATTTTTAGTTGTTAGTATATCTTGGTAAAAAAGCATAAACAACCATCTAAAAAATATAAAATAAATTCATGTTGTCAATGACTTTTTCATACTGTAGCTTATGGAAGACAGAATGATAGCCCCTCAAAGATGTCTAATGATCCCTCAAAGACATCCTAATTGCCAGAACATGTGACTATGTTACCTTACACAGCAAAGGGACTTTGCAGATGGAATTAAGTTACGAATCTGGAGGTGGGAAGACTATCCTGAATAATCTGGATGAGCCCAACATATAAGTAAGCGGGTAGAAGAAGGAGAGTCAGAGTCTAGTGAGAAAGTCCCTGCTATCCCTGGCTTTGAAGATGGAAGGGCCCACAAGCTGAGAAATGCAGTGCCCCCTAAGAGCTGGAAAATGCCAAGAGTGAATTTTCCCCTAGAACCTCCACAGAGGAGTACATCCCTGCCGGCTGCTTGATTTTAGCCCAGTGAGAACCATGTTGGACTCCTGATCCTCAGAACTATAATAAATATGTTATTTTAAACCACCAAGTTTGTGGCAATGTGTTATAAAAGCCATAGAAAACTAATATACAGTTTTATCTCTAAAAGCCCTTGCATTTAAAACCTAATTTCTGGAAACCAGGTGAATTTGTCAGTTAAAAAAAACCCCTCTAATTAAAACCTTATTAATTCAGAATACAGCAGAGGGAGAAATGTGACTCAATCTGTATGTAATTCTTAGTAAGTACTCAGCACCATGCTCTTAAGGTGAGAGCAACTCCTACTAATAAATGGAAAGTCTGAATGATAGACTTTTAGTCAAACAGCATATATATTTTAAAAACTAAGACATAAAAATGAGTATCAATAAACAAAAAAGTCAATTAATGAGAGTTACACTTCACAATAATCTATCCTATAATACGAACTCAAAAAATAGCCTCACTTCTTTTACACAAGAAACAGTTATAGCATATTTAAGTTGCCACAAATTTCAGTTTTACTGTAAAAATGGTTTCTAATGAAATTTGTTTGGGTGGGGGGAAACGTGTAGCAAAAGAGCTCTCAAATCGGGTTAAGTCGAGCACACAAGCAAGAAATTAGAATCATGCACACTTCACTGTTTAATTGCCTAGAGAAAATGCAATCCAGTGGATACAGCTTAGACTCTGAATGGACAAACCTGGGTTCAAATTCTAGCCCCTCAATTATTAGATGTAAGATTTCCAACAAGTTATTTAACGCTGAGAACCTCAGGTTTTCACTGTAAAACGCAGGTGACAACAGCAGCCGCAGAGGGTGGCTGTGAATACCAAGGCAAGGTCACGCAGAGAACGTGCTGGCAGAGGTTGTGGGGCTCAGTACTCTTGTCTGATGTTCTCCCTTCCCAAGCCCTACCCTGCTTTCTTTCATGTATTTTAACTAGAAATAAACATTAGCAAAATGTCAGTGAGAACAAAGGCAAAGACTAGAAAAACACAGCAAACAAGCTAAACACACTTCCTTTATAGTTAATTAAATTAAGTGTTTTGGACCAAGCTTACCCAAAGCACTACATTTGGATTTAGGTTTCTTCTCTTTCTTTTGTACTGGGGATTTTACCTTCACTTCTTTATTTTTAATTTCTTTAACTTTACTTTTTCTCATAGTGAAGTCTTCATCGTTATCTTCACCCTCACCAAAATCAGAATCATCCTCAGAATCTTCACCTAAAATAGAAGAGGACATGCTTCATCTTTGATCTGAAAAGTGGGATTTCTATGGCTTCAACTTTGTCCACAGCTTTTGCACCAGATTCGTGTGCACCTTTGTGCTACACTGGTTCTGGTAGCAGAAGACTGCAGTGCTTGAGACTGTGGGTGCCTGGGTTTGAATCCTGGCCCTTCAGTCACATGGCACATGACCTCGGACAGGTCACTAACTTCACTGCATCTCAGTCTCCTCACCTAGAAAATGAGGATAACTATAAACCTACATCACGGAGTGATGTGCAGATTAAATGAGTTAAAATATATAAAGCATTTAGAATAACATCTGGCAAAAAGCAAGCAAAACATAAGTTAGCTGTTACTATTATCATTACACTTTCCCACCTGCAATCCCTAGCTCAGATTTCACCAGTTTACTTCAGTGACTTTTAAAAAGAATGGTAGGGTATGACAAAAAGCTAGTCTTTCAGGACAGTGACATTTATGGTAACAACTGTATGACTTCCCTTAATTGCATAAATGTCCAACATTCTAGAATGGAGACCCATTGATAATTGGGAACAGTAAGCATACCACGACAGTCTTAGCTGTTGATGCTATATCTTCCACAAACTCTCTTTCGTACTTCATGGGATGATATAAGCCAGTGATATAATTTGAAAAGTGTTACAGGTGCTCTGGAAAAAAACATGTCCCAACTTGACAGCTAAGCAATGAGCCTTCTATTTTTGTGGGAACCAAAAAGCCATGCCTTGTAAATAATGGACTCTGAAAATTAAGTGCAAATAAGGGTTAGTCCTATATTTTATAAAAGTTTTTAATTATTTTTTTTTTTTTTTGAGTTGTAGTCTCACTCTATCACCCAGACTGGAGTGCAGTGGCCGCTCCCGGCCACCGCAGCCTCAACCTGCTGGGCTCCAGCGATCCTTCCGCCTCAGCCTTCCAAGTAGCTGGAACTACAGGCGCGCGCTACCACGCCCGTCTAATTTTTGATTTATTGTAGAGATGAGGTCTTGCCAAGTTGCCCAGGCAGGTCTCGAACCCACGGGCTCAGGCAATCCACTCACCTCAGCCTCCCAAAGGCGCGGGATAACAGGCTGAGCCACCTAGCCCGGCTTAATATTTTTAATATTATGTGCACGCTTATTATAGAAAATGCTTAAGGCAAAAATGTACAAATAAAATTAAAAATTAAATGTATATGTTTACTGTAGAAAATGTAGACCATATTTTAAAAAGTATTAAGAAGAAAACCCACTCTTTAGTCTCACCATTCAGATAACCACTAGCATCCCCACACATTTATACCTGTCTATTGAAATACTGTATTTTATTTTTAAAAAACACATTATGAAAATTTTCAAACCTACGCAACAGTAGATAACAAACCACCACCCAGATTTAACAATTACCAATATTTTGCTACATTTGTTCCATCTATCTGTTTTCTTCTCTTTCCTTCCCTTCTTGTAGTATATTAAAATAAATCCTCAGTATTCCATTATTACACCCCTACATACTTCATAATGCAACTCTAAAAAACATGGAGACTTTCCTACACAACAATGTTATTACCATATCTAACAATATTAACATTAGTTTCTTGGGATCATCTTCTACCCAGGCTACATTAACATCCTTTAATATAGAGCAATATTCTCTCCCTTTCCCCCGTCTTTGATTTGTTGAAGTAGCCAGGTCAGTTGTTTTGTAGAATGTCCTATACTCTGGATTTGTCTGTTCTCTTCTTCAAGGTATCATTTAAATATTATACTTCCATTTTCAGTCAGCTGGAATTCTGTTCTCTCAAGGCTCAATCAGATTCAGGCTCATCTTTTCTGGCAAGAATATACTTCATGCGTGATGCTCAGTACTTCATATTACATCATATCTGAAAGCACGTAAGGTATGCTTGCCCCACTCTTAGCTGGTTCAGCTGATGCCAGCCTGAATTCACCACGGCAAAGATCCTGACCAAACTTCCCTTGATAACCTTTACCTAAATCAATGTCATTATGATCTTCAAATTGTGATATCTTTATCCCATGATTTTTTCTACAGAAATAAAATTTTAAAAACCAATTAGGAGTAATTAACTCACACATTCACATAATGGTCACTGTTCTATATAGAATTAGCCATAAAAGGCCAGCAGGTCACATGAAGGTTATTAGAAATGTAGCCTGCAAATTAAAGTTATTTCTGGAAGCCTGAGAGGATTTAGCTTCAAGGAGGGCAAGCAATGAAGAAAGTTTCTCCAAGCTCCCAGATGCAAATTCCTTTGCAATATCTTTCATATTGAGTCTCACCTCTACACTCCTGCTCCCATGCCTTCTGTTCATATGTTGAGTCATTTTTTACAGCACAAAAGTTGCTAACTATTTTCCTGAGTCCTGTCTCTTCTAACCCATCATACACTTCCAGGTGTTTCTCCTTAAACTAAAGTCTGCAAATAATGGTCTCTGGAGCATTGGTTGTCCCCCCAATATTAACAAAAAAAATTCAGCTAATAGGTAGCATATTCTCAATTTTAAGTTTTCTTTCTTTTCTTTTTAAAACTTTGGCATCAATTTTTCTCCATTTTAACCAGATCACTTCCATTAACTGACAAACATGGAGGACATAACAGTCATAAAAATCTTCTTCCCAATAACTCTGCTACACTTACAGCAAAACTCCTTAAAATGTTGTTTTATCCTCACTTCACCCATTCTCTTGAACTCAGTTCAGTTGGACTTTCATTTCTACCAAGCTCACCACGGACATTGCCAAATCCATTGATCAACTCTCAGTTGCCTATTAGACCTAACAAGACATTTAGGTTTAACTGATTCCTCTTTGCAATGGTTTCTTCACTCAGCCTTTTGATACCCTCTCTCGGTTCTGTATTTTTAGCCATTCCTTTTCAATCTCCTTTGCTGAATGCACCTAATTTTTCTGACCTCTAAACGTAGTGTCCTAGAGCTCATATGTAGACCTCTTCTCTCTCTACAGTCATTCTCTAAGTGATCTCAATCTCATCCAGAGTCTTGGCCTTCATACCATCTACATGGTGATGTTTCCACACTTATATGCCAGTCTGAACTTCTCTCCTGAACTCCAAACTCGTTTATTCAGATGCCTACTGAGCATCTCATTTGGATGTCAGAGGTGACTCTAGCATGTCCAAACTCTCGGTTCCAGTCGCCACCCCCCATCCAGCAAACTTGCGCCTCTCCTGAGTCTTTTCCATTTCAGTGAAAGAAAAACACAAAACAACAGTCAAGTCAGTAAGTACATAACCATGGGCACCTTAGTCATTCCAACCAAAAACTTTAGCCATCCTCGATTATGTTTTTTCTTCTTTCCCTACAGCTGATCCACCAGGAAATATTCTACAGGCTGTTTCTCCAAACGTGTAACCTGATGACCTGTCAGCATCTCACCCCTACTATTCTGGTCCAGGCCATGGCTGTCTCTCACCTGGGCCGTTGATGGCATCTTCGGTCACCACTTCTACCCTTGCTCAGCTCACAGTCTATTCTCAACCTAGCAGCTTTAGGAATCCTTTAACATTTTAATTGAGATCACGTACTCTCCTCTCTAGACACTTCCAGTTGCCCACAAGACCCTGCCTGGCCGGTTTCCTCTCTCATCTCGTCCCAGTTTCCCCTTCCCTCACTCAGCTTCAGGCGCAATGGCATCACCACTCTCAGCACACTGAGCAAACTCCTATCTCAGGACCTTTGTGCCTGCTATTCCCTCTGTGGAACACTCTTTCTCCAAATACCTACATGGCCTTCACTCTCAAATGTCACCTCAGAGAATCCTTCCCTGACCACTCTACCTAAAATAACACCTCCTCCTCCAGCTCCGCCATCCTCTTAACCCCTAATGATCCCTCAAAGACATCCTAATTGCCAGAACATGTGACTATGTTACATGAGCTGCTTGGTTCACTATTGTGTGCCTGGTGTCTGAAATATAGTGCACATAGTAGGCATTCAAATATCTGTTGAATCAGTGCTGATGAACATATCTGTTATGACTTGTCAATAGCATATCAAAGTCTAATATACAGCATCTGATTTGGCCTACATTTGTGGACTTATTCATTCTAATTTTTAATTAACAGAAGATGATGCTCTGTCAAGGTCACTATGTTTTCCATTTGCCCAATTTCTGGATGAATCTGAAAACTCTCATAATCAAATATATATTTCACATCACTTTTGTCTCATAGCATTTTGCGAATCTCTGCAACCTGTAGGAAAAAGTCTCCACCTCTGAGAAATGGGTCTGAGACTCTCCACGATTAGTGTCAGCTACCTCTTTAGCTTCATCTGTAACATTCTTCTCAGCAAGCCTCACTGAACTCCTGAATGTGCACTTGTCTGTACCATTGCTTATGCCTCACTACCATTCAGAAATGCAACTTTACCTCTTTAGTTTGTCTAAATGTTACTCATTTTTTAAGGCATGGCTTAAAAGTTACCTCCTAGACAAAGTTTCTTGTCCAAACGCTATTGCTGAATTCAACAGTCCTGGGTGTCCTAAAGTTTGCATACACTGAAGGTTTAACACAGTGCTTCGCACACATTCATGGCCTCCAAGAATTTTTTTACTGAATTTCTACAAGATTAGTTTTGAAGCGGATATAACTTACCAGTTGCAAATTCTGGATCCGTGTCATTAATACTATCGCCATCACTGCCTTCCAGAAGAATCTTCCTCTGCTGTACCGCAGCTTTAGATGCTGCTTTTCTTTTCCCTTGAACACCACGAACATCATCTTCCTCAGTAATCTTATCCAAATCTTCAGGAGAGGTATAAAAATCAATGGAATCTTTTTGTGACAGCTGGTATTTCAAGAACTGCAGAGCAGACTCTATTACAGCTGTTGCTTTTATGTGCCCAGATTCAACCCTCTCTGCTTCTGCCAATAGACAACTTACTACCCCGATGTGGGTCAATGATGGCACATCAGTGCCCTGGCAACAAACTCTGGATAAGTCCAAGACCCAAACAACGTTTGCCCCCAAATTTTCAGATTGGAACTGGGAAGATGTAGCCCCTTTCTTTAGTGGGCCACTCTTGTAGACTAGAAGCCATGAGTAGTCATGACCCTCTACTAGGAAAGCAAGTGGATCTGCAGTAAGAAAGAATAAGGCTAGAACACAAAGAAACAAAGGCCATGAGATGGAGAGAGCCTCGACAAATTTAAAGACCTTGGTTCCCACTATAATTTCAGGAATTTAAACGAAACTTAGACAAGCAGTATTGTTGGTGGAAAAATTATTATTAGTAACAAAAACTTACCTAAATAATCACTGGCTACACTGCAATTAGAGATATGAGGAGATTTAGCCATTGTTTCTGTTTTACTAATGTCATGTTTTTCAATGCCTAAATATAAGGAATAAGAAAAAAAATTCAGATATACCTTTGTCAACCATGTCTAGAATATAAAGATTAGTGCTAAAATGTAACAGCATCTAGATACAGATAAATAACCCCAAACTCAGACAGGCAAAATGATTTTACTTGGAGAGGCTAGCATATGGTTAGACATTTAGGCTCTGAAATCAAATAAACTTAGGTTAAAATCCAACCATGTAAACTGGCTAAATGACCACAGGCAAGTTGCTTATCTTTTCTAAGATCTAATTTCCACATCTATAACCTGGAGATAGAATAAATGTTGATCATATGTGGACACTGCTTATTACAGTGCCCCACACACAGGAAATGGTCAATCAGTGTTAACTCTCACTTCTGTGTAGGCAAATCCATGCTTCATAACGTAAGTCTTTTCCAATCATTATAATAACCTTAAAATGATCCAAAGTATTTTAAGAGGCCTTTAAGACAAGATTATTGGTATTATTAAATTCCAATGCTACAAAGTTCATAATTCAATGAGAAGTGGTACTTTAATCAACAGTTTCAGTTATTTTTAAGTAGGAGGAAATACTGATTTCAAAAACAAACAAACAAAAAAACCCTAGCTATATCCCAAAATGAGATAATGGGCTAAATTACTGGCCAATATAAAATAATTTAATCCAAAACAAATTAATCCCAAAAAGCTTTTCAGCAGTTTGAGTGTCATTCTCAAGAATAATGATTTCTGCCTCTCCAAAACATCAATATTACCATCTGCTACATGATATCAGGCAGAACATCAACAGACAAATCCAGAAGTTATTCCCTTAAGCCTACCAAGCTTAACACCTTTAACCTTTATAAAAAATGAACATTATTATTATCAGGTCATGTTCAACTAATGCAGATGTGGAGAAAAGAAAGTGGATTGTTAGGATTGTACAGATCAATTCATATGATCAAAAAATTCCATTTGTACTGTACATCAATATACAATTTGAACATCCAGGCTCATGGTCCATGTCCTTGTCCTTACCACTTTGGGTGGTAAGCAGAGATGTATGTACATTTGTATGAGATTTAAACAGCTGAATAGAGAATTGAATCCACTATAAGAAAAGGATTGGCAGTGGTGGGAAACTGTCAGGGGAGGGGGAGTGGGATTGGCAGCTGAGGGAAACTGCCAGGGGAGGGAGGGGGATACCTCATCAACCAGGGTACCTGCATAATCAACGTTTGAATACCTAACCCTGAATTGTACCCCACATCTTTATAATAAAAAAAATAATAATAAAGGGGGAAAAAATTGAATCCAATTATACCTTCTGCAAATTGATCTATTTATAATCCAAAGTATTCAAATTTTATTCTTTCTTATGTGAAGGCCCATTCAAAGACATAAGCAAATTCAACAAGAATGTTTTAAAGTTAAATACACAGAAAATAAAGTTACTTTTATTTTGAGACTTCTGCACATCAGTGGTGTCTGTTGGAAGTTCCTTCACTGACAAAGCTAGTGCAACTTCCAAGTCTCTCTGGTAGAGCTTGTCATCTAAAGCCATCCTAAAATAGACACACAAATATAGTAAGTTTTTAAAAATATCAATCTCAACTAAAGAGTAAAGTTTGAGATTTTCCTAAATTACTGTTTAAGAGTTGCCAACCTCTCTTTCTAACCAGAGAAGTGAAAGACCTTTACCATGAGAACTACAAAACAGGCTCAAAGAAATCTAAGAAGACACAAACAAATGGAAAAATACTCCATGCTCATAGATAGGAAGAATCAACATTGTTAAGATGTCCATCCTACCAAAGGCAATCTACAGATTCAATGCAATACCCATTAAGTTACCAACATCATTCTTCTCAGGCCTGGAAATGACAATACAGAAATTCGTATGGAAATATAAACAACCACGAATAGCCAAAACAATCCTTAGCAAAAGAAACAAAGCAGGAGGTATCACACTTCTAGACTTCAAACTTTACTATAAGGCTACAATAATCAAAACAGCCTGGTATTGGTACAAGAACAGGCATATAGACCAATGGAACAGGTCAGAGATTCCGGAAGCAAAGCCTCAATTTCTCAACCAAGTCATCTTTGACAAAGCCTCCCACAATAACCACTGGGGAGAGGAAAACCTATTCAGTAAATGGTGCTGGGAAAACCAGCTGACCACATGTAGAAGATTGAAACAGAACCCCTACCCATCACTATACACAAAAATTAACTCTAAATAGATCAAAGACCTAAACATAAAACCTCAAACTATAAGAATCTTAAAAATGCAGGAGACATTCTCATTGAAATTGGAACTGGCAACCAATTCCTGATCAAAACCCTAAGTGCCCTACCATAAGAAATAAGATAGACAAGTGGGACCTCATCAAACTGACAAGCTTCTGCAAAGCAAAAGAAACCATCAAGAGAGCAGGGAGACAGCCCACAGACTGGGAAAATATATTTGCCAACTATATATCTGACAAAGGCCTAACATCTAGGATCTACAAGGAACTCAAATGCGCTGAAAGGAAAAAAACAAACAGCTCCTTTAAAAAGTAGGCAAAAGACATGAATAGACACTTCTCAGAAGATATACGGGCAGCCAAAAGACACATGAAAAAGTGCTCAGCCTCACTCATCATCAGAGAAATACAAATCAAAACCACATTGAGATACCACCTAACCCCATTAAGAATGTCCATCATTATTAAAACAAACAACAGATGCTGGTGAGGATCCAGAAAAAAAAGAACACTTCTACACTGCTGGTGGGAATGTAAACTAGTGCAAACTCTTTGGAAGACAGTGTGGCAATTTTTGAAAAAACTAGAAATTGACCTTCCATATGACCCAGCAGTTCTCCTATTGGGAATATACCCAAAGGAACTCAAATCTTTCTACAAAAAGATACCTGCACACACATGTTTGTTGCAGCTCTATCCACAATAGCAAAAACATGGAACCAACCGTGCTGCCCATCGAAGCTGGACTAGATTTTAAAAATGTGGTACATATGCACAATGGAATATTATGCAGCCATAAAGAAGGACAAACATGGACTTCGCAGCAACTTGGATGGATTTAGAGTCAATCATACTCAGTGACCTATCACAGAAATAAAGAACAGAGTCCCATATGTTCTCATAAGCGGACCTTGAGCAATTATCATAATACTATAAGAAAGGGATTGGCAGTAGTGGGAAACTGCCAGGGGAGGGGGGTGGGATTGACAGTTGAGGAAAATTCACAGGGTAGGGAGGTGCATACCTCATCAACAAGGGTACCTGCACAATGAACATCTGTATACCTAACCCTAAAGTGTACCCAACATCCTTACAATAAAATAAAGAGTCACCAACCTCACAAAAAATAGGATGATGATAATTTTTAAATAATCATCATAGTTAATTAATCTTTGGTGGTAAGACTCCTAAATGTAACACCACCACGTTCTAGCACAACATGTTTGAAATGGGAGCAGCATGTGCTTTCTCACTTGCTCTGCCTCTAATTATAATGTCTCTCCTTACCATCAGCTAAGTCCAGGTGGGAAGCACCTGCTCCACCTCAGACAGACTTGGTTCACACATTACTTCCACTTAGAAATCTTCCCTGACCTCATCCACACCCTTTTAGCAGATATTATAGCTTTTATCTTAAATTAAAATTATTATCATTTTTTTACAGCTGTCCCTCCCAATCTAGACTTTACCAAATATTTTATCAAGCACGATTTTGTATGAGGAATTGCACTAGCTGAATAATAAAAGTATCCTCAAGGGGTCTGCAATTTAATTATCCCATAAAAGGTAGATTGTAGTAAATCTCTGTTCAAGTTGGTCAAAAGTGCTATGAAGTACAAGAGGGAAAAAAATGAAAGACAGTAAGATAAGGAAAGGTTACATGAAGAAGGAAACACAAAAATATACCTTAAGGGATTTATTATCTTTAAAAAAAGTAACTTTATTGAGCTGTAGTTAGCATATCAAAAAATTTGTCCTTTTAAAGTATATAACTCAGCAGTTTTGGGGACATTCATAGATTGTAAAAACATCATTGCAATCTAATTTCAGAACATTTTCATTACTCCATAAAGAAGCCCTGTACCTGTTAGCATTCACTCCCTGGGTAACCCACCCCTGGCAAACACTATTCTACTTTTCTGTTTCTATGGATTTGCCTATTCTGGACATTTCATAGAAATGAAATCATATATGTGGCCTTTTGTGTCTGTCTTCTTTCACTCGAAATAATGTGCTCAAAGTTCAGCCACATTGCAGCATATATTGGTAGTTACTTCTTTTTTTGGCTGAATAATATTCCGTTGCATGGATATCACATTTTATTTATCCATTCGTTAGTTTTGTTTTTTTTTTTTTTTTT